GGGGCGGGGCGGGGTGGAGGAGGATCCACTGCAATTGCCGTTTGTCTCCCTCGATCCTGCGCCCTCAGCCAGCCCCACAACCTATCTCCTTCCCCTCCTCCTCTCCACTCCCTGTCTCTCCCACTTCACGCAGCAAGTGCGTATCAGCGTGGCAAGAAAATGCCTTCCTCTCCTTTTTCCTTGCACGTTTTTGACACAAAATTATTTGTTGCGATTTTTCAACTCTACTGGTCCAGCTGTAATCCGTTGTATATGCACTGCACGAGATCTCAGACCCATTTCCCCCCCCCGGGCAAAGGCACTACCTCCGTCGCTGCCTTGCCTTTGCACGCTGCCGCCTTGCACGCGGCTCTGTGCGTGGCACCGGCATTGGACTCGTAGTTCAGCGACGTGTAACGCCCCGGGGAGGCCAAGGCTGGCGTCGTGGCCCGGGCCGCCGCGGTCGAGGCTGCTCTCTGCACCACCACGCTGCGGGGGGCCGCGGGCCTCCTAGCCTAGACCCAGACCCACCGCGCGCAGCGGCGGCGCAGCGCTAGCGAGCGCTACTGGCGGACGATATGATTCCACCGCGCCAAGTTTGCCGTCGCAGTAGCAGCAGCAGCTGCAGTAGTAGCAGAAGCAGTCGGCAGCAGCGCCACATCCCGAGCCTAGCCGGTGGTGTGGATCCGATTGAATTGGAGGCGGGCAGAGCAGCAGCGGGAGCCTCGGCCGGAGCCCGTCCCGTCCCGTAATCCATATTGCGAGCGACAATGAGGCCGCGGGCCGGCCGGGCCCCGCCACTTTACATAATGCTCGTCTGCTGGTCCGGCGGCGCCGGCGAAGAGACGAGTGTCCGGCACACTGCTGTCCGGCTGCTGGACCACAACAACAAGCGCCATATCGTCTCTGCAGCTCAGTGGCCCTCCTGGTGCACAGCTCGGCACTGCGTTCAAAGTGGGCTTCTAAATGACGAGGGACAATTTTTGTCCATTAAAATAACCGTCGGTTGCACATCTTCCATGATAGAATTTTGAATGCTGCATTTGGTGAATGAAGGGGAAGGGAAAGACAAGTTTTGATTATGTGTAACTCTAGATACAAACTTGTCACACAGCACAAGCTTTTACATTTTGCTAAGTTGAAAGGGAGTCACGGAAAAAAAAGATTCGCTGAGCCAGCTAATATATTGACTGGTATCTGGACAGACAAGAACATAAACTTCTGTAACCACTATTTTGTCTACTCTAATTAATCATTGGCTGTGCCAGTCAAAAATTAGCTGTAAGAGCTCATCCCTTACCTAAATCAGTCGAGGTCTACCTTACT